CGTCTATTTGGACCATAATATCAACAGATATATGGCACTTCACCCCAGATAACCAGGTGCGCCATCAATGCGGGAATAAAAATGCCTGGTATTTGAACTGTTTTTAACGCGGAAACAAAAACGAACTGAACGAAATATTTGTAGACTGCTCTTGTTCCAATATACTTTTAAGACCCCTAGTCGTCGGTGGCAGTGTCTAACCGTTTCGTCCCATATCCATGTCTAGTTGAAACCTACATGACAAGTTGTCATGAACATGACACCATGCCAGAGATGTTGTTTCGATAAACAGTGTAACATTTCCTCCGTGTAGCATGAAACTAACTTGTGACGGGGTTTTGATTCGGTCACACATGCAGTGCTGGTTGGAACTCGCTTTATAACCCTTGCATTGTGAAGGGGATAGTTGCAGAAGGTTACAGGAAAGAACAGTTGCTAGGCAACGAGTGGTTGGGTGGAAGAGGTGTGAGGCAGTATGGGCACGCTGCGTTACAGAGAATTCTAACCGACGTTTGAGATTCGAACCGATACCCGATCGAAAAGAAGACACGCTGTTACGCGTCCAGCGTTTCAGTCACAGGCCGGGGTGCAGCGCATGACCTACCTTTGACCGTCAGGTGGGTGAGTGGGTTGTTGTGTCGCTTTCTGCAATATAATTACAATGTTACCATGGGTTACAACTGGTGGGATTCAGACATTGTGATTAAAGAGGGAATCGATCCGCTACTTCCGCTATGATCATCATCATCATCATCATCATCATCATCATCATCATCATCGCCGCCACCACCACCACAACATCATCATCATCATTATCATTATTACCACCACCACCACCACAATCATCATCACCACCACCACCACCACCACCATCATCATCATTATCACCATCATCATCATCATCATCACAAGTACTGCTAGTACTACGGTAACTACTGTTGCTGCTACTACTACTTCAACAACTCCTCCTTATGCTTCATCGCATCAACGATTACCCTGCAACTACATTTACTGCTTCCAACACAACTACAAATACGACATCTGTGACTCTCACGGTGTCTCCGAGTATTCAATACGTTAAACTGACTCATGTCTCACAAGCAATGCATCTTAAAAGGTTTCGTATAAATTCATCTATACATTGCAACAACCAAATGTGTAACATATATGTGTGCTTTCCTTAGTTTCATCAACAATAACACAAAAAATACCAAACGAAACGTCAGATATAACACATAATAATACACAGGTTGTATACATGTGAGGTGAGGTGAGGTGAGGTGAGGTGAGGTGAGGTGAGGTGAGGTGAGGTGAGGTGAGGTGAGGTGAAATTGGGTTTAACGTCGTACTTAAGAATATCTCGCTCATATGACGACGTGCATGCGTGTGTAGGTGCGGCTGCTTGTACTAGCCCAGACTTAAGCTGGTTTTATAGTGCTAGCCCACTGGGAAGCATGAATACCCCACTCAGACACATTATACTGACTCCGAGCCGACCAGGCCTTGTACCCATTAATACCGAGCGGCAGGCAGGGACCAACAAGTACCATATTTTAACGTCTTTTGATATGACGCGCTCAGGGATCGAACCCGCAACCTTCCGCTCTCCGGGCGGACGCTTTACCCACTACACCACGGAGGCGGTCTTTTATACATGTACGAGTGGGGGTGTGACATGTAACTAAAACACGGAGGTGTTTGAATAAACAAGTCTTCCAAAGGAAACCAGAGGTTGATAGCATGAGCACAGGCGTACTTGCTGAAATACGCGCTATCCACGTAACTCATTATAATCCAGCGATCTTTCTTGTCTCTCGTTACAAGAGAGTGAGTGAATGAGTGAGTATGGTTTTATGCCGCTTTTAGCAATATTCCAGCAACATCAGGGCGGGGACACCAGAAATGGGCTTCATACATTGTACCCATGTGAGAATTCGAACACTGGCTTTCGGGGTGACGAGCAAACGCTTTTACCGCTAGGCTACAAGAATACCGGGATCTACTCGACCAAGGGATTTCCATTAGTACTTCTGTAAGTCTGATTGTCACGTAAATAGAAATAGGTTGACGAGACACTTCATGCAATATCCCAGACAAGATTGCCAGATACCAATTATGATCTAATATATCCTAATATATTTAATATGTCACTTCTAGCTACGAATTCAAAGTTTGAGTAAGCGTTGCCCCTTCGCCTAATCATGAATTAATTGCAAATTTATATTTCAAAAGTCAAGTTTTCCTATAGATTCCCAAACCACAGTTTACCGTTCTATTTCCTTCAAAGAAGTTCTTCAATATAAATATTTTGGGTGTACTTCTCACACATTGCCTGCGAACATGTGGGCATTGTCAAAATACCATGAATATTCATCAGCATGACGCGGATTACAGACATGTATTGTCAACTGTCACTCAAATAACACATGCTTGTATATTGCAGAATGAAATGTGCATGTATGGGGAATGTCACTCGGGATTAATGTGTACATGCCAGATGCACACACGCGATAATTTGTACAATGTTAAACGTGCACTTGACACTTATTTACTCTACCCTATAATATATTGGAATTAACGTAAGGTTTTCAAGGGCCAGTTCTGGAATGAATAAATTAATCTGGTTACATTTCCAGCATTAACATACATTACCATTTTCCGTCTTTGATTATATTCGACCGTTGCTGCTAATACAATACCTAGCGTAAAAGACAATGTCAGCGCACATATAATATTTGGAAATATCTTCATCAACACAACAGTACTAATATAAGAATCAATATCACTGGAGGCTACATATATATCTTTTTTGTCAAAGGAAACACTATTTTACGCACACACACGCATGCACACATACATGCACACCATATATATACATATGGTTTCTGTTTTAATAAAGCTATTCATTGCGTGTAATGATAAATGCTCAGCCTTTGAAATTTCATGTTAGAATTTATTTAAAAATAAATGAGAATTCTTCTTGAGACTACATGTGATTATATTGGACACATGTTAAATACACGATTTAAGCTAAGACAATTCTTTCTGCATATATACTCTTAAATTGCTAGTTAATATGCTAAAGAATTCTACATTTTGTTACAGTTGATTGGATCTGAATTTAAACTTGAAGGCTGTTATGTTGAGTATAAATGATACAACATTTACAATGAACACACGTTCTGAAAATGTTCTGCATTCTATTTTATTTACCGGTAGATAATTACTCAGAATATTACATGGCACGATACCAAAGCAAGAACCACATCTAACGATTCTGGACAATATTGAAGACGTGTCACATTGGCACCGACAGACATTCTGCATAAAATGAAATATACAGTTAATAATATACCATTTAATAATTAAATATTTTAATCATTTTGAAAACAGCATAACTAAATTCCAGTCATTATTTTACCAATATATTAGCCCAAAGCAGAAATTAGCACTAAATACTGAAAATATTAAGATAAATAAATAAACATTTCTTCGTTAAATGTACTTGCTCCTATGTAAGACGCAATCCCTGTTTGTATGATTTGAAGGGGATACGTGTAGAACAGTGATGCTTGGATTCTACAGCCGGACCCTAACACCAGGGTAACCACTGACCTCGGCCACCCAAAGTCGAGTGTTATGTATGCGTGGTCACAGTCGGACATTCTCCGTTAGCTAAGGGTAGTTTGTCCTCTAGGTCAATCAAGGGATCGACCAAACTGCATTGTTTATATTCCCGCGAATGACAATGCATGAGACTTGTACATTACAAGTGTCAAAGGAAACTTTGCTACAGTTAGTGGAATGTGTTACGTCGAGATGCGAGTCGGTTGCATAACAGACCTGGCCTTTCTATACCGTGTCGATTTCAGTCCGAATGTCTATTTCATTATTGTCAATAGTTTAGTTTACAGAATCTGAAATGGTTAGATATTTTGATTGTTAGGTGTATGTGTTATAGTTTATCGAAACATGTTAAGAATAGACAGTAGTTAATCACCGCATCACAAACATGTTTGTGTTGATTATAGTCTCCATATTAATGCTAGCTATCAATATATACAATATTATGGTCAAAATTATATCATTTTGTTAGATTTGCGATACAAATTTAACATTTCTAATTGTATGCAAATGAAAAAGTTTAAAAGGTTCAGAGAAATAAACTACGTATTAAATGACAATCATATGATTGCAGATTTCACTCACGTGTCCCCTGCAATGTAGCAACGGCCCAATATTTTAGTCATGTCTATATTAATGTTGCATTGTAATTTATTCCTTTACGTGGTATTCATAACACATATACCTAAAAGTACACATTATACAATCAATTTTTTGAAAGAAGAAATGATAACTTAGAAAATGAACCTACAACCTACAAGTCAAGTCCCACAAGTAAAAGTTTAAACAACATTCATCTTTAAATCCAAATGATAAAATACATTTGATATTTACATGTGTTTATTTCAATGTGACATATTCATTATACGGACCCTGACTGAAAAACAAAGAATTTACACGGTTATATTTTCTCTTATGTCTTATAAAACTTTGACGTATGTTTACATGAGATTTTTCATGTACTTTTATACAACAAGAGTATACTTGTGCAATGGTACAGACTATATGGCAGTATCTTTGCGAGGCATGTATAAATTCCCTACACACCTTTCTCCTTACATAAGGGACGACGGGACTTAAGTTTTAGCTTCAAATGATATTTTATATGACATGGATTGAATATTATTAATAAAAGGTAGTTTGCTTTGAAATCGGATTGCATTAACTTTCACACCTTACTTTGATCAGATACCTGATTTTGATATGACTTCGCCTACTAGGCTACGGTGGCGAAGACGTTGGGAAGATGTAGCTGTCATAGCTGTTATCATCCCGTATTTAAGTTTCAAGACACATAAGAAAACTTGTCAGCCATCGACTGTGCGTAGCTGACACAAAACGGAGATGACGTTAAGAAATCAACTGGCAATACTTACAATTCAAACAAAATCAGCGTCACACGTGAAAACTCCATGCATGGTTACGTGGGGAGATTCGGCGATTGTACGTATAATCCGAAGTTCTGAGCCCCCATATTCTCACTCTCTTCGTTTATCCCCACTAGAAATGAAATTCTAACTTGGTAGGCTAGGGAATTTATACAGCGACGAACTGCAATCCAAATAGACAATAATGAACAATGAGAAATACAGGCAGATATGCACATGAATATTTCGTACACACGAAAAAATCCGAATTCGTTTGTGCCTTCAGCATAATTTTCAAGTTAGGATAATTGGGGGACCGGTAATGTATGAATAATCACAGTTCATGAATCGGCAAATCATGATTTGTGATGCAATTTCATGCAAATCAGAATTCTCCCCATCTTTTCGTCTTGAGTCCCCTAATTTTACAAGAAGCTGATTAGATTTATTCAAACGGAACAGCTCGTTGGTACAATTAAATGCTAAATTCCCACAAACATTTCAATACTTTTCCCGTAAACCGCAAATCTTTTTCGTTAATTCTGACTAAATCGCTCATCGAGACTTACTAATAGTCCCTTCCATTTTAATATTCATAAACAAATCACGTATTCCATATCCCGCCTGATCAAATGCATATTGAATAATAAATAAAACTTAGGTATATATGAAGGACTATTTACGTTTGTCCTCGAAGCGTCAGTGTAGACGTCTTCAAAAAAGTGTTTTGCATTCTTCCGACCCTTCTGTTTCTATTATAAACTAACGGGATATCAATACATCAACTGGCGCAATGTTAAAATTATCACCTTTTGCTAAATACGTTTCTATTAAATGATTAAGTAGGATTTTAGATACATAAGCGAGCATAAACAACTTCCTGAAACAGTATTTTAAGCAATTCCTTTTGCACGATTAATCGCCCCACGCCTCGAAGTTTTTAACACGTTACTAATCGTTTTTATTACAATTTTATATAATTTTTAGTACGAAGGATTCGTGACTGATTAGATTTAATATTTCATTGATTAGGATATAAAAATATACTTGGACATTAACTATAAAATTTCCCGCCGTGATGAAAAGACTATTTTAGCCACTTTTGTGCTTTTTTAATGTGTATTAACATACTGTAGTAATACTTGACAAGAGATCAACCCTAATAGCGTTATCTACTCGCAACCATCTATCCAAATATACATTTTATGTGTGATCGTTTGTGCCATGAATGATTAAATATTCAGGATGTATTGATAATGAAAGAAAGCACACGCTTGAAATCACCTGATCACCCTTTGTAAATCTGCCTTTGTTGGGAAGCGCATCATTGAGGGAACCCATGTAGAAACACTATATAGCCGTATGCAGGATTGTGAAGTTCTTATTCAAAAGGATTAATATCACTTGTCACAGATGTTTTTAACAAAATGAATATCGTTTTAGAAATAACGTAAAAAAAGTTTAAAACCCCCAACAACATCATGTATCAAAATATCAATGTCATTTCTATAAGTGTGTTTTAAATTCTGCGGGTCAACATAATATTTATGAAATAAAAATAATCAAATTTAAAATGTTTTACGATACATGTGTTGCTGAGGGTGCATATTTCATGTTAATATAAGATTACAAAACTTGAAGTTTAAACTGAAACGGAATATAACATATTTCACTCGTTTAAGTAGTTTTCCTTTCACAATGTAAAATGTGTTGGAACAGACTCGGGGAGGTGAAACAGTCACGCCATGCCTATTTCAAACAATAACAACAGAATATTTTCTGATAAATACCTAACTCCAGCTATGTCAACTGCAGACATCTTGCGTATATGTGTGAAATAACTTTTTTTAACATTCTGACTGAAACGAGAGGCGTTTCCTCATCACATGCTCTCCACATGCCATCGACTGAGAAAGGTTACCCACAATTCAGTTGAAGCCTCGCCATTGCCAGTTCGTCCTTATGAGAATGGTGTCACAGATTAAATAACCTATATCGTTTTTAAGGACAAGGTTTCTAAAACAGTCTGGCGTTTTACCTGTTTTCGTGGTTCATATTCAGTTAAAAATCATACCATTATTGAACAATTGTCATGTTTATTTCTGTTTCAAATTGAAATAATTATAGGAATGACAAGTGTTTAAGGATGAAATAATAATAATTATTATTATATATATGGACATAGAAGACGTGATTGTAGTTGTTTGGCTCTGATCCACAACACATGATAATAACCATGGTTAAAACGCAAATACAGTAGTTTGTAATAAGAGTTTTGATTTTGCAGATGTTCCAAAGAACGATAATCATGCATTAATGTCAATTGCATGTCGGTTTCAAGTTCCACTGAAATATACATCTTGTGTAAATATACATGTTATATATCTACTCAATTACTTCATACATATAGCTCATGACTAGGTAATCAAACATCTTGTATTGTATGCTGTATGCTATGTATTTTATTGTAGAGAGTTGATATCTAATTCTCAGCAATCTAAATTCGCAAATTACTCGTATCACACGTATTGTGTGACGAGCAAGTGGTGTTGGTGATCTTCTTTTCGGTCAGGTGTTTAAACGAACGCCTGTGCTTTCGCGTTAACGACATCCAGGGAACATATTAAATCTGAAATTATCTTCTCAAGAAACGTTGCCGAAGCTTCAACAGATTGTCACAAATTCGAGAACACTTGCCATATTTACCCATCCCATGCGCGACGAAAAGGACCCACCCTCTTTCCACGGAGTGAACTCGCTGCTCGAGAAGCCTTGTTTGTTTTAACGCACTGAAATCTAGATGCGGATTAATTGAGCCTAAATGGAAGTCTACCCAGCGGGAGCGATTCATGTAGGAATTGCATTGTTTACTGTCAGTCATACTGTAATGTTATTTCTATTTTTGACAAAAGGATTTAACGTTCATGTTCCTCGTTTTCCCATTCAAGTCACCACAGGCCCATATAACGTACATTAACAGCATATATACACATTTTGTTACACATCAATATAAAATAGATAAATGAATTTCACAAGATAGAACTATAGTAATACACAATACATGATAATAACATTATTGATGTAACGATGGGTAAAGTTTAAATGCTAAAATTAAATTTCTTACATTCAACAATGTTTGAGGACATGTGGAATTGATAAGATTAACAAATGCTGCAACAGAAGGATGTTCATTGTATGCAGGGTGAATATATGATTCTCGTACATTTGAAAAGGCCTTGCATACATGTTGCATGGATGTAGAAATGGCAGTTTTTAGTTATTAACGTGGCCCCTCCACCAAGCCAAGTCAGTTATGTATTACTAACCACGCAATGTCCGTTTCGAGCTGTAATACAGTCCGTTTCGGTTTCAATTGAAGATATTATTTTCAAAAAACGTTTTACATTTTTATAACCCACACTTTTGTTGAATACATACCGTATTGTCTATTGCAATTAATGACTCTGGCTGATGACGTTTTAGTAGGACGTTGAGTTATGGCTTCTCGTGTATGACAAAAGACAGGCTTGTATGCATATAAGCACATGTGCTGCACGAGACAATGACGTGATATAATTCTTCTGAAATTGACAAGCTATGTATTAGGAAGGGGTTGGGTTGTAACAGAGAGTTTGTAATGAGGAGGAACTACAGGTCATCGTCATGCAAGCGGGTTGATGACGATGTTGAAGTAATGGGCCTGTTTGTTTGTCTTTACAAAGTTTGTATCTAAGTCTTCTCATTAGTGGAAGCCAGCTTCTCCACACTTACATATGGCTTACCTCCCTGCCTGCTCCACTTATACGTGGCTCGCGGTCGTCAGCGATACATTTACACAAGGCTTACTCCCCTTGCTATTACACTTACGCATGGCTTACTGCCCTGCCAGCCACACTTACACATGGCTTAGCACCCACCCACCCTTTCCGCTATACTTACACATGGCTCACCACTCTCCACCCTGCACTTACACATAGTGTAGCCTTTCCCGCTACATCTATATATGGCTTACACTTATACGTGCCTCACTGCAGTCCCACTACACTTACACAAGACTTACTGCCCTGCATGCTTGACTTACATATGTATTACCAACATTTCTGCTATACTTACACTTACACTTAACTTACACATGGCTTACCTCTCTCCACCCTACACACACACTTATACGTCGCTTACGTGTCCCCATGCTACGCTTACACATGGCATACAGCCATGCTTGTTATATTACATATGGCTAACCACCCTTCCCAGTGCTACGATTACACATGGCTTACAACCCTGCTCGTTATATTGCAAATGGCTAACCACCTTTCCTCGTGCTACGCTTACACATGGCCTACAACCCTGCTCGTTATATTGCAAATGGCTAACCACCTTTCCTCGTGCTACGCTTATACATGGCCTACAACCCTGCTTGTTATATTACATATGGCTAACCACCTTTCCCAGTGCTACGCTTACACATGGCCTACAACCCTGCTCGTTTATATTACCTAACCACCTTTCCCAGTGCTACCCTGCTTGTTATATTACATATGGCTAACCACCTTTCCCAGTGCTACGCTTACACATGGCCTACAACCCTGCTCGTTATATTACATATGGCTAACCACCTTTCCCAGTGCTACGCTTACACATGGCCTACAACCCTGCTCGTTATATTACATATGGCTAACCACCTTTCCCAGTGCTACGCTTACTGGCCTACGCATATGGCATGGCCTACAAACCCTGCTTGTTATATTACATATGGCTAACCACCTTTCCCAGTGCTACGCTTACACATGGCCTACAGCCCTGCTTGTTATATTACATATGGCTAACCACATTTCCCAGTGCTACGCTTACACATGGCCTACAACCATGCTTGTTATATTACATATGGCTAACCACCTTTCACCAGTGCTACGCTTACACATGGCCTACAACCCTGCTCGTTATATTACATATGGCTAACCACATTTCCCAGTGCTAAGCTTACACATGGCCTACAACCATGCTTGTTATATTACATATGGCTAACCACCTTTCCCAGTGCTACGCTTACACATGGCCTACAACCCTGCTCGTTATATTACATATGGCTAACCACCTTTCCCAGTGCTACGATTACACATGGCCTACAGCCCTGCTTGTTATATTACATATGGCTAACCACCTTTCCCAGTGCTAC